TACGAGATATACGACGACATTGACATAGTTCAGCGAATTAAAAGACAGCGGCTACGCTGGCTAGGTCATGTTGTCCGGATGGACGAAAACACTCCCGGAGAAGACCTCCAAAAGGAAAGAAGGACCAAGTGGAGAAGGACCTGGCTTCACTTGAAATATCTAATTGGCGCCACGTAGCGAAAGGAATAAACGACTGGAGCGCGGTTGTTAACTCGGCTATAATCGCGTAAGCGGTGACTACGCCAATCAAGAAGAAGAAGATACATACATTAGGGTGTTATTTTAAACTATGAATTTTTTTCAATCGTAAATGACAAGAGTTACAGAAAAAATGTTCATGACAAAGTTGTAGGAAATTTTATTTGCTACAAAAAAGATCTGAGAACAAAGTCGCCATCATTAATACTTCTCGAGATATTCGGCTTTTTAAGTAAGGCTTTATGGAATTTTCATAGATTTTTTAGCTAACACACAACGTGTGCAGCCTTACTTAAAAATACAAAAAAATGCGAATTTCATGGAAAAATCAGGTTTCGAGCTCCGTAATACCTCGCCGGTGAGTTACGACTTTATTGCACTGGGCACTTTTGTAAAGTGAACAATTCTGAGAAATATGCGTCTAAAGTCAAAGCGATGCCATAAAAAACGTCTGATCTGTGGGAGTTTTAAGATAAAAAATCACGATCATCGCGTTTTCTCTATGGAACATATTTACATGCCTTGGTCCAGTTCTTAATGTTAATATTAAGGGCTAAAATTTTCAGGGAGTTTTTTAGGCTATTTCCAAGAACATTTCGTTAACATAAATATGTATGTATGTATGTATATGAGGATGTTTTTTTAAATATAATTTTTTTTTCACCACCAATCAATATCTTTATGTTTTTATTACATATGGTATATAAAAATTTCGTACTACTACTTGTCATAACTCCTTAAAGTTCAAATGTTTGTTATTACAAATTATTTGGGGTGAAATAGGGTGTAGTAGTTACTCTGGGTATCCAAATATACGTAGTTGAGCTACCACACAATACCAAACAGCGTGAGCAAATTTGAGTGAGATGTGGTAGCCAACCTTGAGGGAGAGTTGATGGATTCACTTCAAGGTAACCGTTTTAAGAGCTTAACAAGGGTGCAGTGCAAGAGGGCGACTATCTTGGAGTGAGCAGTTCGCTATGTAAACATCATCCACGAAACTAACTTCCCAGCTGGAATTTTCTGGTTAGGTTGCGGACCCGCCATGTAAAAATGTAATATGCACCTGAAATGCTGGGACTCTTAATAGCACGCCAGGAAACGGAATGGACAAGACATGGCTGCATGAAATTGGTGTAGGATATGTGTTTGGTCGAAGGCTTCGTCACCTTGGCTCTAGGTTTATCCCGATGAGTGAAAGGACAGCGGTAGCCTGCATCAAATCTAAATTTCATTATATAAGTCTAATTTGGGCACGCCTAACAGAAGAAAAGGACGACGAAACGAAGGAACAATTAGACTTCACGACAACACTTCCAACAATGGAGAGAGGCTGGTTTATTTCGCCGAGGCCGAGACATCTAAATATCCATAAATTTATCTGGATGTCACCTGAATAAAATACTCGCAACCAAATTGATCATGTTGCTTAAACGGAAGGCAAGCTTCCCGTATTCTAGACATATGCTCCATGCGAGGTGCTAACAAAGAATCACTATCATGTTGCAGCTAAGATACGTACACGCCTCAGTGTAGCGAAGGGCGTCGAACAATACATCCAACGCTGGACGTTGATAAGCTGCAATCACAACAGACAAACAGGTGCTCGATAGATCCCATATGTGTTTTCAAATTTGACCCACTGTAGGCGTTACAGAAATACATATGTACATATCTGTCATAAACTATGGTTTTCGCAATTAGTTGTTATTTGTGCTTTTAAATCAGCACATAATTATCGTATTTCGCCTGATAAAAGCTTCCAGCAATCGGATCACTAATTGATCTAATTAATATTAAAAACTCAAGTATTTGTAAAAATTTGGAAAATTTCATATCTGACTTGCTGCTGCCAACTGCTTGAAGATTCAGAAAACATAACGATGCAAGCCCCCGCCATATGGTGGACCAGATAATATATTCCGCAATATTTTGACCTTCCGTTATTTTATTACCTGGATAACAAGTGTAAAATTTACCGAAGGATTGGCTGGGCACGTGATGGTGTATCCGGGTCTACTATAAACATTACTCACCGATACTATGGACCATTATCAAGGAGTGTCCATGCCTTCTCTAAACGCGCGAGATATTTCAAACGTCAGTTCACATTATTTCCTTCAATCGGCAAAGCCGACGGCTGCGTAAAATGCCAAACTAATGTGCACCACTAACTTTCACCGTTGAGGAGTTTTAGAGTGTCACCGGCAAGGCGAAACGAGAGTAAAATACCTAACTAAGGTCCTCAACCTGTTATTGACTACTCTTCAAATAATTGACGTGTGAAAGTAGGAAAAGTGGACCCACTACTGAGATCTGGGAACTTGTCAACAAAAAGAGTCTTATCGACCGATAACTGTCCCCAGCAGTGAAGACATTTAAGGCCTTGTAACTACAACCTTCACACATTACCTTAACCATCAATCATTAACACCTTCACCGACTTCTTACCAGGAAATGGCATTCCCAATAAAATCATCTAACACTCCTCCTTTATGATCCGACCCCGTAAAAACAGCACGTTTCCTAAGTTTAGTGGAGAAATAGTGATGTTGCAGCAAGTATCTACATTACCCTTCAGAAGGCTACAGTCTCCTATAGATTAACACTTGCCATTTCTCAATCCCGAAAATTTGTAATGTTCGATTTAGGTATTGAAAATTAATTTTCCCGTAGTACCAATATCTAGTATGCATACCTCAAGTTCAGTCTTTTGGATTCTTATAATCGTAAATGCTATTTTCTTGTGTTGAATAATTTATTATAAAAGTATATAGTGTAATGTAATGTAGTATATATATACATGTGTACATATATAAATACAATAAACAACACATATTTTATAATTATTTGTTTTTTCAATTAGTTAATCATTTGTGATTTTAATATCCGCACATATTCATCGTATTGCGCATGATAAAAGTTTCCAGCGAACGGCTCACCCAAATTATCTCTTGTCTTCGTTCTAACGCGACCTTGACACACATATGTATATAAAAAAACAAAACGGTCCAAATTATATACTCAAGTAGTATATATAAAAACTGTAGGTTTAATATTTTACCTACGTTTTCCAAATGAATTTTGTACTTTGAATCTTTCCCGGCTGTTTGAAAACTAAGAAAACATAACGGTGTAAGAAACTGCCCTCTGGTGGACCAGACCCCCTGTATTCCGCAATAGTTTGATCTTCAGCTATTTTATTGCCTGCAATATTAATTACCTGCCAGCGTAAAAATTCCCGATTAATTGAATCGGGGTCTACCATAAACAAAGTATACAGAGCGTTATCTTCCACGTCCCAACTGAGTGGGGCCAGATTTTACTTTAATTAACCTGTACCAATTTTTTTTTTTATTGGCTTATTAGTAATAAACGTTTGTAGTCACCTGCACTAGACCTTCAAGACTGGTGTCAATGACGTCTGGAATTATACCACTTGAATCCATTTTGCGTCCACCTCCACTGCTTACTACTTGAATATGACTGAACATCATTATAACAAAACTCTCATAACTACTACTTAAATCAGTGCATGAGTATATTTTTAAAAAATTTTGGTAAATCACTCCAAATTATGCTAGTCTAATAACAGTATATATGTACTATTAACTACTACTAGTAGAGTATGACTTTAACTCTCTATGGATATATATGTATGGTAGTCAAAAAATGCAATTATGTATTATATTATATTTATTCTATGAATAAACATATAAGTAGGAGCTAAGTTCGATGCTGGTGTAATACCTATTTAGGTATAAGGGTAGTATTGAATTGATTTTATCTCTTTTTGGCATCACCACATACGGGCTATGCATGAGAAGTAAACCTAAACGGATATTTGAAAATTGTATCCATTACTGTTAATTACTGTTGAACCCCCATGCTTCCCCGAAAATAGTCTCAGATATATTTTACTTTGTCATGATATATGGGAACTGTCATAAAAGTGAATTTAGGTTAACCATTGAACGCTGCTTAAATTCATGAACCGTGTACTATAAAGTTTTAGGGAACATAAGTATACGAATGTCTCGATCCTCATACAAAAATTTAATCTTCTTGGCTTTTCGCCACGATTTCTTCAACGTGTACCTCCTTTATAATAGAACACAACGTCTGATATCTGAAGATACTCTGATGCAAATTATTAACGGAATAACTTTAGCTTTATTGATTTGGGATAGCAACTCCCTATCTAATTACTTCATTTTATTTTAGTATTCATGATCTAAAGAATTTATACATTCGTATGTCTCTAAAACTCTTTTTACAACTTTGATTAGGTCTATATTGGAATATGGCTCTGTGGTACGGTTAACCTGGCTACCAAATCTATTCCGTCAAGTTATTATTTTCGATAGAAGCACTAGTCGTTTGAAACTCATAAATCGACTTTTACTAGACGAAGGGAAATGCTTGGCATAATTTTCTTAGTGAAAATCCTGAATAGAACAATTTTCAATTTTTTTTTTGTGGAAATAGGTCATGTTTTAATTCTCACTCCCGGAAATATGATTTATCTAACTCACCTTTAAAGACTAGCTCTCTCTTAATATCTTAATTTGTTTATCAATATGACGAAAATGATCAAATGTCTTCAATTTTCATTTAACAATTGCATCCTTTGATATTATTTATAAAAAAGGAAAAGACTCTAGGAAAAATTGTCGGAAATATACAAGGCGGCTAAGAATTAAAATGCGTAGACACAAAACATAGGTAGATACATAATTCAACTATTTTTGAATAATATTTAATATTTATTTGTCATAACTATCAATTCAACACTTTTAACATAATTATAATATTTCTATATGTTCGAGATGTGTGTATTTGAATGATTTTATTAACCTACATATATGTTTATGCTTATACAACAGAGAGATGAAAAGTTACGTTAATTGTTTTCTAACAGTTTAGACAATTATTTGCAGGTTTACACAAATTGACTAATACATACATATATAATATTTGAGTAGATGCTCCAACACAAATTTTTAATGCTCCTCTTTCAGACCGAATTTAACTTTGTTATATTAAAATTTATATACTTATACGTCCTTATTATTAACTTAATAATCTTTTAACAGTATTCTTTTGAGGAGCATATCCTGTTTGGCTTTTCTGCAATATTTTCAATTATATTTAAATGGATAAACAAAATTAAAAAAAAAAATTCAGTCCTCCATTTACAAAAAATGTTTGTAAATTAGAACGCCTAAGCAGATAACGTTAATAATTGAGAAAATTTTAATTATAAATGGTATAAAATTGAGGAATATACAAAGATATAATAGCAGTTGTGATTAAATAATAACATGCATATATTTGTGTAGGTAATGATGAATATACATTATAGAACTAGTGTGGAATATAATGTGTACAATTTATTCGGGAATACCAATCGGAAAAATTATTATTCCTCTACCCGACTTTATCAATAAACTGCTTAACAGCGAGTTTCATAAAGCCCACTGCGACCAATGTAGCGTACCCATTTTACTACATCGTGGTCAGAGTAATTGAGCTTTGGCTCAAAGACTTTTAAATAACGTACTTTAAAGCCAGAAGGTGCGAATGGTACTTCAAAATTCATTGAAATGGGTGGGCGTGTCCATTTTTTCTTTGTATCTGTTTCTAGTAATTCGATTTCTGCTGAAAGTTGAGTTTCCTTCATGCCGGCCATACGTTTGATCTTCCAAACAATTGCATTATCCGAGGCTTTATATTTAGCTTTGCCTTTCAAACAAATCAACTGAACACCAGAAGTATTGAGTGGTGTGGGAATTTTTACTTCAATTTTCTGACCCAGTAGCGAGGGTTTGAAATTCGATTTGAGCACTACTTTTACTTCCATTTTAGTTCGGCCAACTTCACGTACAAGTGGAATTACTCGGAATGGCAACGAAATATCTTTTGTGGTACGATAGCGCATAAGTTCAAATTCTCCATCAGGTGGTATAAAACTAATGGAATGTTCCGTTTCGAATTTGCTCAATTTAACACATTGATGAAACTGACAATCATCGATGACGACAACAGGTTTGCCAGAACGCGAAGTTTCCGCTTCAGAGTTCCCACCGATACCGCGTCCTTTGGATTCCATAACTATTTTATCGTTGATACCAAACTTACATTCAGGCATTCCTGTTTTTATACAAATAAAAATATATTTATATTACCATAACTTTATTTTTAAGAAACAAAACATACCCGAAAGATACGACTTCATAACGACTTTTCCAGCTACATGGGCAGAGAGCACTTGCCCCTGGGGACTCATCAGCAGATTCACGTACTCCAACACGTCGAGGAAAAGTTCATTGCGACGGTATTTTATTCCTTCACGTCGCCAGCCGATTTGACCGGTCACTTGTGAGGTGATTTGCATTTGTTCCTCCTTAGTAGCCGATTTTATACCCTGTTGCGTGATGAACGTCTTCAGCGTGCCCGAGTCCGTGTTCTGCGGATAGCCAAAGTCGAGAATCTCGTCGAGTAGTTCATATATTAGAACAAAGTTGTTCTTAATATTTTCTTCCGAAATTTTACCAAAGTATGACTGCATAACTTCTATAATTTTCAATAGGAATTCAAATACCATTGCTGCATTCACATTTTGTTTCGTGACTGCAGCCAACCAGATATTAGCACGCTAAAAAGAGTACTTGTTGCAATGAAATAGTCATTATAAACTTATTTTATAACATATACCTTAATATGAAAAAAGCTGGTACGTGCGATATTTGTTACCGGGGAACGAACTTGCTGTCTTGCATGGATGACGTTGACACGAAAAGCATCAACTGCATTACGACCAATATCATCTCGATACACACGACTAATTAATACCTCTCCCTTGTGGTTATATACAAATAATCCACCAATCATTTCTAATAAAGAACTTATTTATTTAGTACAATCAATTAACACAATACGCCCAATTAAAGATAAGTTTATTAATTTTTCACTTTCAGCGATTATCGATCAACACCCTCTTTTCAATACACTTGACAGCTGTCACCAAATTCGTTTCACACCAGATAGTTGCATTTGACAAATATACTTTTTCTTTAAAATTATTTATTACTAAATTAATCCTAGATTAAGTTTATTTCTTACCTTAAAATTTAAATATGACTAAAATGCTTCAATTTCAGACAAATTCAGAAATTATTCTAATAAATGAACGATATTCAAAAATGATTTAAATAAGAATGTGACGTGAACACTTCCATGCAACCACAACCAACTTTCCTGTGCATGACTTTGCGGCTTGAATAACAAAAAAATATTTTTAGTGTGATATTGGCACATTGATTTGTGAGTTAAGGATTCTGTCTTTTAATTATTGCTAAATAAAAATGCCTGTCGAAAACTTGGAAGAAGAAGGTTTGGAAAAAAACCCAAAACTCGAATTAGCTCAATACAAGTTTCTATTGTCTTTACCGGAGCATAAACAAGACGCTGCCCTAAAAGCAAAATTACTAGAAGCAGTTCGCGCTGATAACATGGCTCCTTGGTATGAACATATTTGTTTGGAACTTAATTGGCCAGTTGACAAAGATCTGCTTGCTCGTATGCGTGAACAAAACCGTCTAGAATTAATTAAATTGGATGACGCTATAGAGGATGCCGAAAAGAATTTGGGTGAAATGGAGGTGCGAGAAGCAAATTTGAAGAAATCTGAATTTTTGTGTCGAATTGGTGACAAAACTGCTGCCGAAACTGCCTTCCGTAAAACATATGAAAAAACGGTTTCACTTGGACATCGTTTAGATATAATATTTCACCTTATCCGTCTTGGTCTCTTTTACTTGGACCACGATTTAATTACACGCAACATTGATAAGGCAAAATATCTTATTGAGGAAGGTGGCGATTGGGATCGCCGTAATCGATTAAAGGTGTATCAAGGAATATACTCGGTCGCAGTGCGTGATTTTAAAGCAGCTGCTAATTTCTTCTTGGATACCGTAAGCACATTCACCTCCTACGAACTGATGGATTATCCAACTTTTGTTCGCTACACTGTATATGTAGCAATGATTTCTTTACCACGTAATGAATTGCGTGATAAAGTTGTCAAAGGCGCTGAAATTCAGGAGGTACTTCATGGCCTACCAGATGTAAAAGAATATCTCTTTGCTCTATACAACTGTCATTATGCCGAATTCTTCAAACACTTGGCTGATGTAGAATTAGTATTACGTAGTGACTACCTAGCAAATCCGCACTATCGCTATTATGTACGCGAAATGCGCATCCTAGCATACACGCAACTGCTCGAGTCCTATCGTTCATTAACATTGCAATACATGGCTGAGGCATTCGGAGTGGATATAGACTATATAGATCAAGAACTGTCACGATTTATTGCTGCTGGACGACTGCATGCAAAGGTGGACCGTGTCGGCGGTATCGTCGAAACCAATCGCCCCGACAACAAAAACTGGCAATATCAGGCCACAATTAAACAAGGTGATCTGTTACTCAACCGTATTCAGAAACTGAGTCGCGTAATTAATATTTAAAATAGTAAACGTATTTGTATATTTGGAAATGAGTAATAAAATCAAATCGTTTCCCCAAAATGTATTTTATTAGAAAAAGTTTTTAAAAACGTGTAACTTAATATTGTATATTGTCATAAAATTGTATTATATTATCAAAAAATAGGTAGATACAAATTCTTTGGATTTGGCTGTTGTACATTGATTGTAACAAGTACGAGTATTTTTAAAAATCAGTGCAATCTCCCTAAATATGGCGAAAATTGTTGAAATGAAAGTGCATGCTTGCTTTTGTCTTAAAAATAGTTTTGACCGTGTACATCTATTTCAGGAATCTCCAATTTCGTTTTTGCACTTCCACGTTGCACCGTTATAGCTGTTGTCGCGACTATTGATTTCTTTCTCAAGATCATTTGGCACGGTAGTCGTCGTAGATTGTCGAAAACCACAGTCCAATGGTCTAGATATGTCTACATGCTCATCTATTATAGGTTGAGTGTGTATGTTAGGAGTTATCCGAGGAGGTGAGTTCGTGCCCCTGTCTTTTGTAAAATCCACAACACCAGGAGTATGGTGCTGCTGCTGTTGCTCTAAACATTCGTTTCGAAAGCTCTGCAGACTAGCGCTACCGTGCCCACTCATAGCCGCTGCTGTAGCTGCTGCATTGAGTAAACTGGTACCATGAGTAGCTAGTGCTGTAAAATTGCTTAAGTTATTTAAATTGTTGGTGTTGTTCCCATTAGTGCTTTGACGCCTAATGTTTGTGCTAAGGTTTAGTAATGCATTCATCATTACTTTATTTCGTTGATAATCTTTGCGTAAATGCTGGCGTATTTCAGTGTGACAATGTTCGTTGTTGGTTACAATTATCTCGCCCGTATCAGTGGTGGTGACACGTGCCTTACAATTGAATTTTCGTGATAAATTACATTGCCAATACTTCTTATCCTTGCGCACGTATTGGATGCCAAATGTGTGACCGTCATGTACCAGAAGGGGCTTTCCACGTTGGCTCAGCATAAACTCCAATTTGCCATGAAACCAGTGCTCACCAGGAGCAACTATATCATAGATAAAAATTATGCAATTAAAGACAGATTTAAAATTTTTATATGAACTTTTCGTTTGTTATTTCACAAATTGTACGTGTGTATGTATGCATGAAAATGTATTCTTGTTAAGCTAGCAAATATGATGATTTCGTTAAAATGGTGTGAAATTTAATCATTCCATGGACAAACACATGGTTAACTCTCCAAAATGATTGTTTTATGTATGTATATACATGGGTTACACCATCATAAACGTCCAAGTTATAAGTTTGGTTCACCTATTACAGTTATTTTTGCTCTGAACTTACGTATGTAGATATAACGGCTCCCGAAACATGCAATAGAACGTGTGATGGGTGGACGAATTCACTCCATGTGGGTATTAAAATATTGCAAAGTGAGTTTATATACGGATATGTAAAAGTATGAAAAAACAACTCTTATACATCAAAACATATACCTGCGGCCACCCGGAACTTACCACTAAACTTTTTTTTAATTTTTTTCGGACTTCAGTTTTTTTGTTTTTTTGAAGCACGAATAAACTATAACATATTACTAATTTATAACTATAATCTTTAATTTATTACGTTTAATGAGTAAAACACAAAATAACTTATATAAAAGCGACTGATTTAATTGTGTTTAAAATAATAACGCGACTAAACTTTATATTTTAATTAAAAAAAAGTATAGGAAAACATTAATTTCAATTGAATAAAACTTTAAACGAGATGTAGTCCAAAATTCGTTAATGGTAACATTTTCGAATTCCTTTGTGGTCCTCAGAAGCATTTTCTATAAAATCACATATACTTCTCTTAAAAATCGCTGTCTCGAAACCGGATTTAGGCAAAGTTGTTCAGAACGATCCGTAAAATATTTATGCACACGCAATTCTGCTCTAATCCATATACATACATATATGTACATACAGATGTTATAGACGACAATAACATAACCTTCGAATTCATTAACTTAAAATTTTGTAAACTTTCTACTTATTTAAATTGAGATTTATGAATTAAATAACTATAGCTAATAAAATATTATTGTTATTGTAAGCACAAAACCGATTTCAATAGATGTAATGAATAATTTCTCATCTGTTTAAATAGGGTAGGTATTGCTGCTAACTCAATTCAACCTACATACATACATATATATATCATGATATATGAATTTAGAAACCTTCAGACTTTTAAGTATAATATATATAACAGTTCTATAATTTAATTATGTATGATTATTAAGTCTCAATATTATTACACACTAAATAGCCGCAATTCACAACGAACTCCTTTCCGACGTGACTGCATATTTTTCACTTACCAACTACACATCGTTTGTTTTACCGTTACATTGTTATTGTTGTTAGCGTAGTGCAGAAGAAATGGAGAAATGTTGCGAGTTGACAATCCTGGCCAGATAAAAATTCCGGTTCCGGTTACATAGACCCGGGTGTCGTGGCAACGTGATTTTTCATGTTACATCTTTTACTCACCGTTCTCTCTCATACTATTTACAACATTTGCAAACATTTTTTTACTTAAACTAACAAATTTTTAATTTATCCATTGGCTTGTATGTATGTAATAATTATAATAAAGGGAAGGAGTTGGACTGTGCGTTTCGAACGCAATACGCTGAGTCATAAAAGCGTTTTCTGTTAACACAATTTTTTAACAGTTACATATCTTCCATTTTGAAACTATGTCCTTCCCCTGGTGATATCGTTATGGAGTCGATGACATGCGCTTGATGTTGTGACTCATTCGCTCCATCTGTTGAATGGGATGATACGGCGGTGTTTGAATTTATTTCAGATGGTGATAAGGTGGTCCCATGGCTCAGCATATGTTGATGTTGTTCACTGAGACGCGTAGAATGAGCTGAATGGGATTGCGCCTCAGACGCACAAATCGCCTCGTCGCTGAGATTCGTTCGCGCTGGTGATTTGAGCGCACTACCACTGGGAACGGAGGCTGGTGTTGTTGTTATTGGCGAGCTAAGCGAATTAGCACCACCGCTACCATGCTGTGACTGATTACTCTGATTAGATGGACTTTGCAGATGCAGCGGTGGGGGCGGCGGCAGCGGTGGTGATTGCATCAGTGGTGTTATTTCCAAATGGGGTTCGTGTTGTTGGTGATGTTGATGATGCGACAAATGCGACATGTGTGGCAATTGCGTATGGTGATGATGGTGCATGGCATTCGATGCATTCGCGCTATGCAATATATTCTGTATAACGCTGTTCGAGTGCAAATTTTGCGATCCACCGGCACCGCCAATGCCACCGTTTCCTGAGCCACCAATTGTATGATGCTGGTGATGGTGATGATGATGTACGTTGCCGGCCATGCTGCCATTGTCAGGCGCCGAGTGATGTGACATTAGTAGACTAGTTGCCGATGGAGTAGAGTGTCCGTGTAGATGTGCGTTGCCCATCAAGCCCGCCGACACGGGTGGTGGTGACGATGAACCACCCACTGCATGCAATTGATGTTGCTGATGTTGCAGCTGTTGTTGCTGATGGTGCAGCTGCAATTGTTGCGCCGGGGAATTATGCATAGAATTATGTTGTTGATACATCGTCGTACCAATGGCACCGCTTGCCGTTGTATGATGTAGTCGTACACCAGTGGTGGTACTCACATTTGCTGCTGAATTACCACCGCCTGGCAACAATACACCGGGGATATTAATAGAGTTCAAATTTATTGCTGACGTGTTAGAGGTTGCCACAGAAGATGATTGCTGTGCATTAACATCGATGGGAAAGCCTACTCCATTCCCACTACCGCTTGCATTACTGTTGCCTCCTCCATTGTTGCTCATGCCACCACCAGGACCACTTCCACGCATATGTGGCGGATGATTATGAACACCAGTTGCGGATATAACGCGCCCTTGATGGGTTATGCAGCGCGCTCGGCACATGCTTATGCGATAGGACTTGCAGAGCCAATACGTTTTCATACCTTGCTGTGTGGCTACGGTGTTGTTGCGATTAAAGACGCAGCTACCGTGCAACAGTGACGTCGATGAGAGCATCACCACATTGCTGCTGTCTACAGCAAGCGCATGCATACATATGTACCATTTGTTGCGGATCACGAGGTAAAGTTGCGAACATGGTCAATGTTGTTGCCGCCCAAGTTGTTTGCACACAAGCAGAGCGCATTCGGCGAATCGGCAAAGTAAATGGCCAAAGATAAAGTAAATACGTAATATGTTAATATCATTCGGATATATAATCATATTACATAAAAGTATTTGTAGTAATATGAGGAAACTGAACGTGAAATTGTTTTTGCTTTAGTTTGGCACTAATATTGGATTAAGTCGTTTGTGCTTTTAAAGGATTCAAAGTGAATTATTTACAGAGAACAGCGTATAATAGTCAAAATAGCAAAAATGTAAGTATTTATAAAATAAATCAGTAAATTTAGCTAAAGAAGATAGTGCGGGGTGTCTGAATGTGCGGTACATACATATTTATATAAGTACACATATGTCGGTATGTATGTACAAAGTTAAAGTTGTAAGTATATGCATAATATGTACAGCGTTGTGGTTATTTAATATTTCTTTTAAATGTCTAATTTTTAATATTCCATAGTTATGAATCAAATACAATGAAAATGTTGCCAAATTATAGACAGGCAAGATAAAATAGCTGTAAAACAAAGAAAAACTGTTAACTTCACTTCAGTCCGAAACTATAAAACCTTTCACAAATACAAAATATTCCTTTCAGTTTACAGCTATGTATATGCTATAGTGATCCGATCTCTCTTCGCAGACTGCACCATTGCCTTAGATAATAACCCATGATTAATTTCATGAAGATATTAAATAAAAAAATACAAGTATATGATTCTGATTGATGTTTGTATAGAAGCTATATGCTATAGAGGTCCGATATCGGCCGTTCTTCTTGGTTAGGAAAGGACAGGTGTAAAATTTCAGATGTTTTTAAAACTGAGGTGCCCAAAAAATAAGGTGATATTTGAATTTGAATTGCGCGCGTCGAAGGATTTTGCGAATTATTTCTTTTTTTTAGTTTGGTAGTACTGTCAGTCACATTTATGTCAAATTTCATGTCAAAATATTCATTAGTGTTTGAGATACGTGTCGTTTTGTGAGCTGCTAAAAGTTAGTTTTTCGTTTTTTGCGATGTCGAAATTTGTTGAGCAAAGAATTTGCATTAAATGATCATTTCGCCAAAAACTCAACCCATATCGTTCCGCAACCACCGTATTCACCTGATCTGGCGCCGTGCGACTTTTGGCTGTTCACCAAGTTCTAAAGACCGCTCCAGGGACACCGTTTTTATATGATATTTAAGCCGCAGCGAAGACGGAACTGAAGGCCATCCTGGAAAGTGACTACAACCAGTGTTTCGAAGGTTGGAAAATTCGTTGGCATAATGTACTACATCTAGTGGGAATTACCTTGAAGGGGATGAAATTGATTTGGAAGAATTTTCAAAATAAAAACAATGTCACCTTATTTTTTGGACACAGGCAGGCAGGGTATAAAAGAAAATGTTGAGGGTATAAAAAGAAAAATCGCTAATTTCATTTACATCGAAACTACTTACAACACCCTTCACAGGTGCATTTATATATATAAGTAAATCTGAGTTCTTAGTGATCTAGTGATCCAATCTGAATACTTTGGAGATTTAAAGTTGACTTAGACATTAAACTCTGTCAAATTTCGTGAAGATATCTTGTTCAACAAAAACCATAGAACTCGGTTTTGATAGAATTCATTAGCTCAAATTTCATGGGTTAATGACTTAGCACAGACAATATGAATGAAGAATTTACTTCTAATTTAAGTTCAACGTGCTTTAATTTTTCATTCAATACATGTCATCTAAATTCAGTTACCTTTAAACAATTTCATAATAATTGCTATGAGCAAATGTGCTAAATGAAGCTAGGAGGTGTTTTATCTTATCCGCCACCAATAAAGCGAAATTTCTACAAGCTTATTGCCCAAAGCTAGCTCGTTGTTTGCTATGTACAATAGGTTACAGAGTGTAATTAATGATATATAACACAAATGTAGAATATACATATTATTAGATCACATTGCTCATCTTTGGGAAGCCGTTCACGGATCAAAACAGCACTAGACATTCTAAATAAGGTTGCAGTACATATAGTATATTATATGCAAGTATTATATATACATATGTTTGATTCGAAATAAAAAATGTTAAGAAAAGAAAGAATTTGGCCGATTTTCAGAAACTCGATGTGATTTGTCCTTAAGGATGTTTACAAACCAGAATCGTAAGTTACGAAAAGTATTTTTTATTAATAAATCTTTTTTATTGTACAAACTTATGAAGCAAATTTATATTATAAACAAAAAAGATATAACCAAAAAATATCCTGAAAAACACTATGATCCAACAACTAAATTATTATCTTATTATACTCTAAAATTCGATAAGTTAAAAGACAAAACATATACCTACACGATTTTGATTAATTCAGCCTTTTTCAAGAAGCATTATGTTGATAAATATAGTTATAATACCATTCAAATATGGTTACCTTTGAGCTTCTAAAAATAGACCAATTACCTCACTATGAAAAGGTAGAAGTACCTCGATAGGACTTTGATTTCAATATTAAGGGATACAGCGGAGGTTAGATTGACTGCAGACTAAATATTTGGCATATTTCAGTTAGTCTGGTGATAAATATTACTAATTTTTTTTCTAAATTTCTGAATATTAATACTCGCTAACGCAGAGCAGAGAAGAGACAGCGAACTATGTATTTACACAAATAAATACTATTTTAATATTAGTACAGTTACTATAGTATATACATAAGTATGTATGTATGTACATGCAAGTAAAACAAAGCTTAAAAGGACAATGCAACATAAAAAAAGCAACAAATAAGATTGGATGAACTATAACTACATATCAATAAAATAAGTATGTTAGCTTAAAATTTTATAGCAGTGTATGGTAATGTGATAATATGGCGACAATAGTAGGCATGCGTAGAAAAATACAATTTTTTGGATAGAAAAAACAATAACATTCGATACATACTTGGTGGAATATCAACATGGTTTGCGAAGTTCTTTGAATAGTCACTGGGAATATGCAAATCATTTGGATACTCTGGGCCACTACTACCACCACCAGGCGTGTTGCCACCACAAGCACCGCCAACGCCGCTTGCACCGCCAGCACTGCTATTTTTGTATAAATTGTAATCAAACCCGAAGGCAGCAGGATTAAAGCTGCCTCTAAAAGCCGCAGCTGCCGCCGCAGCCGATGAGTTAGAAGCTAAATGTGGAAGAGACGGTAGGAAATAATCAGATTCAGCATCCGCATCGGCACTGTCACTATGATCGGTATTGTGATCGGCTGAAGCTATCGAGCGACGGAATTGTTTACGCGAGTAAATCGAAAGGGCGTCATTATTTAAATCTGCATGCCGCTTGAGACTTGAAGCCGCATGATAATTCGGATGCAACGGTAAATTACTCTCCGGTGAGCTTTTGAAGTTTTGCTGATTAGCATTAGCAGTTGATTCGGCAAAACTCATAGGTGATGGTGACGATGCGGGTGAATGAGATTTCACCGAAATAGGATTGGACACTTTCACACTTGATAGCCCATCAGTGCCATTCGCATCATCATTTCCACTGGCCGCACGGTTTAAACCTGTTTTTGCTGCGGTCCCACTACCATTATTATCAGCATCTACGCATGCGTTGCTCGCTTCATCAGCATTGTGTGTTTGACTGGCAGATTTATCCGTCGTTGTATTACCTGCTGCTGATGAGGCATTTGTGGCAAGACCTTTGATTTGTAGCAATTGACCAATTTTCATGAAAGACTGTAATTCCGTGTGCTTGACATTCACCACACCCTGGTACATGAATTCCAGTAATTCGCACATAATATTGAAGGTGACATCTTTTAGTATAACTACAAAGAAATATAAAAGAAAAATATTTTCTGTAGAAGATGGCGGAAAAATATGATATGAATATATATTCACAAATTATGTATGTAATAAGATAAGGGGAGAAATGGGGTTGGGTGGTTTCCTTATGCCAATGTGAAATTACTCATTTAAAAGAAAAGACCTGTGTAAAACTTCACGAAGATTGGTTGAGTAGTTCTCTCAAAAACTTAAGCCGACTTCAAAAACACAGCTTCGAAAAAAAATGCGTTTAAAGACGGCGCACTTAGCATAGCTAGCCTCGAGCGCACAAATTCTCAAGACTGCATCTCCGAAACCATTACTCGGATCAACTTGAAAATTTAGGACAAAATTCTATGTCTGATTAGTGCTGTCGGGGCACTGCATTGACGCAATAATACATAACTGATTTTGTAAAGACGAAAACATAAAAAACAATCCAAAAACTAAATTGAATGTCAAAAGTGCACTAATTGAGCTTCAGATTGACCCGAACACTCCGGATACAATTTATACTTTTCATTTCAAATTGTAATATCTGTGTAAAACCTCTAACTAATTTCAAACAAAGAATTGTCACACTCTACTTAATATAGTATTATATATTACTACTACTTAATATAGTATTAAATATTAGGTTCACCATAGATGCATAGATAATAAGCATGAACGCATAAATGCTTCGGACTGTTGTCATAAGCCTTCGAGTAAGTACAGTTAAATATCGTGCGTTTGCATATGAACATTTTAGAAATCAAAAAGGGGAGCAACGATTAGTACTTACTCTCCATATGTATATACATACAAACAAAAATTGTATGGATTAATTTAGATGCTTACGTTTACTGTTTCTCGTATGAGTTTTCATGATTTCATAACTGTAAAAATGAAAGAGGTCAAATATACTGAGAAGATGTTATCAGCATATGAGATGTTTAAATACTAAATCAATACATAAAACTTTTCGATAAGAGCTAAAATCTTAAAAACAACGCTGCGATGTACGAATGTATGCATGTATTTCAATATGTAGATAGATAGTATATTTGTTGTAAGTACATGTATCCCATAACAACTGCAGTAGCCGTTTTCATTACGATGGAAATAACCGATGTCGCTGCTGTGAATGAGACAGCTAAACCAACCAACCAGCGCCAACATCTACTTAAAAACAATATTATCTCTTGTTCTCAATAATCACGAAATAACCGCACACTTCTACCCTACACGACCTCCAACCCAACTAACAAGCCATACATTCGAACGCTGATGATCCACTTGGCGCAGTCATATCTATGAGCGAATAAGCGCTTGTAAGTATGTATGAGTGCACGAAACGAAAATCCTCCGCCATTAGTACCCAGTCTATAAGTAATATCAACCAACTACAAAACGGAGATATGTATTTCTCATTTAATACTTATACTTGTATGTATGTTTAGGCATATGAATGTATGAACAGGTCAACTTTTTATTTGTTTGCTCCAAAATTTGTTTTTTTTTTTTAATGACTGTGTAAAAGTCAATGCATGACTCGAGCGTGTCTAAATTTTTTGAAGCATCTCTAGCACGATACAGCACCAATACTTACGAGTCATACACATGCTTGCCAGTATGTACATACATATGTAGGTATGCTGATGTGAACAATAATATGCCTAATATTATATCGCCGGCAAGCTTCGTCCGCTCATTAGGAGGATCACTGATCAGCCCCGCTTATTCTCTGATGACACAAATATTTTATAGAACATAATGTTAGTTCCGCATTTCATCTCAGAAATCAGAGTACTGATATTAAGCTGTGTTCTTCGCTTGTGTTAATAAAGCGTAGCTTTATATGTACATATATAAATCTGATTATACAAACATATATATTTACAATAAGAAAATAAGGGACTTGTGACATACATATGTATGTACAGATGTTTTTATGTACCCAACTTATGTCTGTCAGCGATTGGGCAGTCGCGAAGCGTCTTCCAATAATCCATATTTGTTATGATAAACTTTGATTAAAGTTCATCGAAAATGCGATAAATCCTCGTAGATAATCGCATGTTGTACGGAATAATGATCCAAATTATTGGAATTTTTCATAAATGTTCGCTTTTTAAACTCATTGAATGTTAAGAATATGAACACATGTATATAGAGACAAATACTAAATAGGTTCTATTATTGCGAGCTTATACTTTGTACCTAATATATGTATGTTTGTATGTACATATGTAAGTACACATACATATACATGTCTCTATTTATGGTCATTATGCATTTATATTATTCTTAATTTATTTATGCATACGCACATACAAATGTACGTGAATATATCTGACATAAATTCAACAACAACTTTGAAATATTAATATATTCGACTGCTAGCATGAAACAGCGACAGAAAAATGTAATAACTAATTATAAAAATATGGATAAATATTTTTAACTTGATACGCAATTTTGAACATTTTACAAAATATTTTAATTAGATGGAATTTTTTTAGAAGGCATTTCATGCAGGTAATAATTGAAACACTTCTCACAATTCTTATTTTTAACAAAAAAAAGTGGTTTTGGCGGTATTATTAACAAAACTCTTATTCTTTCGATGATTTTTTGACCAATATATGTATAAAGGTAGTGTGAAAATTTCAAATCGTTCGGTTCAGAAATTTTCCTCACGGACTCACCGACTCCGAAAGCAAAGTTTCGAGAAAAACACGGTAGTATTTAATTGTTAAATTCTTCAAAAAGGTTCCAAAGCATTTTAAATCAAAATTTTAGACTCAAGCAGTCTAGATGTTTAACTAGACTTATATACATACATATATAAACATATTCAAGATTTGATCACGACGAAGAACATAAAATATAATATTTCAAATACACATCCATTTAATTCTAATTAAAAAAGTATTACACAGTCATTGTTATCCTTAAAAAATATAAATTTCAAGACTACTAACACCGTGGAGGGTGTTACCTTATTTTTCTGTAATTTCAGCATTCATAATAGGCACGACCAATAGAAAATCGTTAAGATATTTTCTCCTGATTACGATAAAAATTTATCGAATCAGAAGAGGGCAAAGCTTTGGTAATGATATAGCAAGGTGTACACATATGTTACATACATATCTGCATATGTTTTATTGTAAGCCTTTCCTTGTGGCAGAGCAAAAAAATATAATTTGTTATCTCGACCATTCAAGCAGATAAATTCGAGTTGTACAACGCTGTAGAAAATTAAGTACCCAATCTGCTATCATTTAAAAATTTGAAGCAAGTGTGTATGTGAGAACATTTAAATAAGCAAGTAAATATGTGTAAAGTGAATCTTACTATTTTTATATAGCCAAAGTTGAATGAATGATAATGAGGAATGCACTGCGACCTTTGGTCTATTGTGCCCTCTCCTTCCTTACATTGCCTCACTTAGCCCCAGCCCATTRATGAAGTCCAGTAGGCTGCTAGGCGCTAGCGAGGCAATGCGATCCCTATCTGGAAATGGAACTCCAAGGGCCTTGGCTCTGCGAATACAGACTGCTGTGCATTCGATCAGCAGATGCTCCGGAGTTTCAGGCTCCCTGTCACTGAACCGGCAGTTGGCGCAAGCTGATAGGCCCATTTTGTACAGATGCCCATTCAGCTTACAGTGGCCAGTGTACCATGCGATAGCCAAAGTTGCAACGACCTCATAAAATTTTGAGTCGACCAAAAAAAAGAGATCGATAGTGGAAATCAATGCAGAGGTTTTCTGTTTTTAATATTAACACAGAAAACTTTTTAATAAATCGAAAAAATGTTTAGGTGTCCTGGCCAAAACTCCAATACATTCGACAAATACCTTATACACAACGGCCTTTTCATAAGCCCATGCGTAGGAAAAGGATGAACGATCCCACGTACACGTAGTTTTCGGTTACATTTATCAATTCGACCGTAAGAAGCTCATAGAAATTTTTCGGATCTTTCTGTTTTCTTGGTTAACCAGATATTTAACCGATAGGTGGTAACATTTCCAGTAATGTGATAACTACCAACCCAAAAATTTAATTCTTATCCAACGCATTACATTTGACAAAGAAAATTTAGTTGGAAATCATGCTTAATATAGACGACTTTTTTATACACTTTAACAGATTTTACTAAGTCTTCCAAGAAGTTTGGAACACCCAGAAAGAGCCGTCAGAGACTTCGAGATTAATTTTAATGGTTCTGAAGACTTTGCAGCAATTTAAAAGTTAAAAAAAAATTTTAAGAGACAAACTAAAATTTCAGAAATTAATTTTCGGAAAGTTACTTTTACTATTATTATATTAATTTAAATCTGGCAGTCGGTTAGAAATAAATATGGACCTTCTAGGTGAAACTTTGGAAGAAATTTATTCACATTTTGGTCGCCTTTCGACAGATAGTGATAAATCCTCTTATGTATAGTATATTTGTTGTAAAAAGTTGAGAGAAGCCGCTACATTTTTTGTTCTACTGATAATGAGCATGTGATTATTAAGTTTTTGAGATATGTATGTACTACTTATGTCGATAAAGGAATTTCACGTTGGCATTGCTACATAATCTTTTATCTGATAGAATAAAGTGATGAATGTTTAATACAAATGTATGACAATGCTGATCTAATCACCGTTAGCAGACGGTATTTGAATGCATATCGTCAGTGGATACAATGTAAACACACAAACCAGGCATATTAAACACAGTTTACCAATTAACCAACCGGACAAGTGGCAAGCTAATATCAGTATGTGCAATCATAAATGATTGTTGGACGCGATAATAAGATAAAACAGTTTTTATATATAGTTTTTATTCCATTTTTCCTTTAATATGTTATGTTTTTGTGGCGATTTATGGAGTGCTCCCGTTCTGTTGGAGTTGTTGTTTTTTTCCTAATATTTTGTTATTTATTGGTAATATTAATATTCTTTATCTTTGAAATACGAGAGTGCAGTAACAATAATTCGAAGAAGCGAAAATACAAAACACTCCTAATAGTAGCACCTTTGCTACTACTTGAAAGATAAAACAATTTTTATTGCTTTTCGATCTGATAAAGCAAACGGGTAGCGCAGCGATATGATATCCAATTCGTACTTGTAAATAACATTTACGCACATCAAGTACTCAGACATACACATATGTATGTACGTACATTTATGTATTTGTTTGAATATTTTAGTATTTATAGTAGCAATAATGTTAGCTTGTTTTATTTGCAGTTGCCACTGTTAGATTATATATGTATATAAGGCGGAAATATTAAAAAGTAATAATCTTTATGGTATATTATTTAAAATATTTGAAATATCTGGTAATTTCTTGGTTTAATTGCCAGGATATGTTTTTAATAAAATATCTGTACATATTTATAATCTCATCCAATAAATGGAAATATTCCTAAAGAACCATCTTCTGACACATTGAAATTAAATTTATCTATCCATAAAAAATCAAATTAAGAGCAATCAAGCGTGATCTTGGTCAAATCAAATAAAAGTTCTCAGATTAATTTTTTTATATTATTTTTATTTTAACTTAAAAATATTTTGTTTGCGCCCTAAAATATTAAAAACTAAATATTTAAATGTGACTATATGAATACAATAGGATCCAATGCTCAGATTTTAGATTAATATTGCTTTCTAGAAGTTATGTCAGTTAAATCCTTCTATTTGTCACGATATTGCAATCTATTGTACATATATGTAGATTAAATGTGAGATTAAGATATTTCCAAATTATAATAGTAGTGTTACTACTTCAGCTATTAACCATTCCAAATAATAATTTATTTTAATAATTCAAATCGATTTATTAGTATATTAAGAAATTGGCGGTACTATTTTTCCAATAATTTCAAAAAGTCATCGAATGTCCTTGTTGTTTAAATACCAGTATTCCATTATCTTTATTTATGTATTGGTATTACTTATCCATTATAAATGTCTGTCGATATTATTGCACTGGATTTATTGGTGAAAATCATTGGATTTATTAAGGTAGCAAAATATGCATTGATACCATAAAGCTAACGGTTTATAAAAGTATAAATTGCCTTTTTACAACTACTATCCGCAATATCAGTTTTATCAAGGTGGGAAGCTACATACATATGTATGCGCATGTGTACATACCTACGTTCATGGACTCATTTATGGCGTTGATACAGGTTTTTCGCCAATAACAAAACAGCTCTGTAAGTTAAGTAAATTAAGTACGTCTATACGTTTAAGCGTGTTATATTTGGAACATTTATCTAGCGCATACTGTTCACTAGAGTTCTTTTAAAAAATTTATTACCAAAGTTGATTTATATCATAGCTGCTTGTGACATAAGCAAGAATGGCTACTGTTGTAAAATGGGAACATTTGTCGTTGTCATCGCTGATAAAAAAAAGGTAAAGTTAAACTAAAAAAAATCACAATCAATTGGAATTGTGGCATCTACATACATTGTACATACTTAACATAAATTTAAACGGCGTAGCGAGAGCACATCTTATTTATATTTAAAGAAAATTTTAATGCAAACACGATATTATATATTACATAATTTTTTTTATTAGTTAAGAAAATTTAATTTTCAGAATTTTAATTTATATACAGGCTTTGTATAAAATTCTGAGAAACTGAGTACCACAGGTTTTTCGATGCCATCAAACATTTGATATTAACTTAAAACTGCCGTTACTTAGTCGTTATCTCTCTCGATAAGAAAACAAGGATAATAGTCAACAACGTAGGATAGATAGATCTTCTTTTCATTTTTGTAAAATACTCACATTTTCATTGCACTTCAACGTCTTTGTTTTTTGTCAGCAAATTTAGTTATTGTAATTTTAATAATAAGATAGTTTCTAAATGTATAACACTGAATAATATTGAAAAATATTTTAATATAAAAATGTCGATGCACATAGCAGTTTTTTAAGCACCAGCAAATACTTCGTTTCGTCAATAATACTTGGCTTGAAATAAGGGAATCGTAAGATATGCAAACCTCACATTAGATATATAGCAAGTATTTAACTAAATATTAACCAGAAAAAACGCTTCATTGAAACTGCTGAGAATTTAAAAGCGCTTCATGCATAAACAATTTTTGTGTACTAATTGTACATATAGTTCAATAAGAAAGCCATTTTTCTGCCGATAGAGGACATTAGATACCTAGTTCGACTTTTGAGCTATGACACCAATGAATAAATTTGAATGCGTTCAAAATATAGTTTTGTAAGTGGACGCGCTAAGTAAACTATATAGAGTACATATATAAATATAGTACGTACAAACATTCAAATTATATCATAACAATAGCTCTTTGGCTTGTACTGCAGAAAATATATTTATAATTTGTACGCAATGCAAAACAATGATTTTATACTTATTGTATGATACTTTAATAAATGATTATAGTTTACTTACTTATTGGGTGCTTGCAGGGATTGGTTATGAAAATTTCTTGAAAATATGGACTGCAAATTGCAAGTACAATTTTATGCGCATGCAACAATTTTCCATCACAAGCTAATGTAACATCAACCAAATCTCCACGATCATATAAATTCTGAAATCCACTGGCTATATTATCCTGGAAATTCTTCCAGCACAGTTTAAACTCGTCATCCATTACTGAAATTCCTAACCACAATAGTAGTGGTTGGGAAAATATTTAATTTATATCGATTTTTTCTCAGATGACAATGTCGGCTCTTATTTTCTTTCGTCCAAGGAAAAATTGTTTTCATCAACTTTTAGCACATTTGCGCCAATCAGGAGGCAAACCGTGATCCTGGTGTTATTTGTTAATTTCTATTTTAAAGTCTTTTGCACTTATCGTTTATTTTTTACAATTTCACTTTATTGACATTTACAAGAAAACGTCAAACACGGATGATGTGAATTGTCTAGATACAAGATACAAAGGAGGAGATACTCAGATATGAATGCAAAACAAGAACCGCGGAATAATAACAAAACAAAAAACCGACTCGCAGTACTACACTTGGTTATCGTACATTGGTATTCTCTTGTTATAAAACAAATTATTGTATATTTTGTTCACTGCACTTAAGAATTCGCCGCTTTCATATACTATTTTTAATATAAATAAATATTACTTTCATCAGCGAGAGCTTTCTCAAAACTAATTTGAAACCGATGAATGAATGGAATTTTCATTTCAAATCAAAGAACGTACAAAGTGAAAAGAAACTGGGAAAACAAATTTAGGGTTGCAAGCTAACACTAAAATATATAATACGATATATTTTCAACCCTGGAACAATTGGGTATAAAAGGCGCATATATACGGTTTATTAAATAATTAAATCAACTTTATTGTTTATGTATAAAGTGTAAAATACCAATAAATACGTTAAACCAAAAACATTTCAATAAACGCAAATTATTACGATCAATTCAGGAGCAATGTTATGTCTGATTATAAAATGACTAGTAATATATTGTCACCTAAAATGCAAAATAACGTATGATCAAAAAATTCGAAAGTGAGTGTTTCGTTGAGTTCGATCCACTACTTAAAATTACAAACATATAAGTACATATGTTCAACATTTTAAGGTTCTTCTATCACATATAACCCAATTCTAACTATTATTTAAATTCTCTTTCACCCATGTTCCATTTTATTACGTGTTTCATTCTTTCCCCTGAAAATTTCTGAAAATGTTGTTACGTCATTTTACATTTTAGGGGAAGACATATATTTTCATTTATTAATTCTATACATACTTCGTATGGTAAAGCAGTCAAAATATATGAGTTCACATATCTTGTCAATATATACAATTTACATTTTTGCCAAAGAATGATTTAAGCTATAAATTCTTTTAAAAAGCATAACCATCTTTATCCTTATATGGAGTTGTGTTCTTTCTTCACATAAAACATAAGATTAGGAAAAAATATTAAAATCACGAATTATTTTTTAACAGCGTTTACTAGTTGTATAGCCTTTTATAGGGTGAATATAAATGAACTATCAAATCTTATCATTTGGGGTTTCATTTTCTTTATTTTGTCAATATGTAATAGAACCTGTTATCAAATTGGTTCTTAGCATTCAGTTTATCATTAACTGTTGTGAGTGATTGGAAACCTATAAAATTATTTCGATTTTAATATGGGTGGTTGTTGCAGTAAGTTTGGCAAATTTTTAATATGTTAAAAATTTAAATTTGTGTACAATTATTTACATTTTTAGGTACGAGGAAATCCGTTGACTTACCAACTGTACCACCCGCTAATGGTATACCTAATTCAAGGGATTACCCAGCTACCGAGGTTACTACAATTGGAAATCCCGGCACAAATATCGGCAACACAAATTTGGCGTTAGAGGAGGATTAAAGGAATTATGCATTCGTGATGATAAGCTTGAAAGATATTGTTTAAATTTAAGCCTTTATATAAGTATGTAGCAAAATCTAAATTTAAAATGTACATAAATAGTACATTAAATAAATTATGTTATGTTCGGACATAAGTGCGATTCTCCAAATATTCATCATGGTTTATATATTTTATCAAATACTATTATGGGTTTTGTATATACATAATGTATATATGATAATATGGTTGACTCACAGTCATTAAGATATGTGCATTTACATATGTATATAACTAGGTATAACACATGTAGAGGTAATGGTATTCGTTAAACTAAAAAAATTATATTAAAAGCAAAAATAAGTAAGTAAAAATTCCAATATACATATTAATTAATACATTTTTGGAATGTAAATAAGTAATTTTTGTAATGGTTGGAAATGGAATATAATTATTTCGATCTTCGGCGTTGTTATGAACGCAGTCAGATGGTTGCATTTTTTGGTAGTGTAAACTTTTACTAATTCGAGAGTGCAAATGATAGGAAATGAAAACTTTATACCATTACCATTCCACAAACATCTGGTAAGCTAACAGAGCTAGATAATACCATTTAACATATAAATTTATATATTTGTTGTAACGACCGTTTACCGATGGTGATTTTGTATTGATAATAGGTAAATCGGTTTTGGATCGGAATCCCATTGCTGGCGTATTAGTCCGGCATTGCCATTTGTTTGTGAGAATCATTTGTGCTCAGACGCGCCTCCAGTGAAATTGTTCTATTGTTATTTCGGTTATTAGAATAGTTTATACAAACTAATACAATGGCCGGTAAGATAATTGGACACGAAATAAGACCAAACTTATTTTCATTAAAAATATGTTTATAAAATAATATTTTATAATAAATAATAATATTGTGTAGGTGCCAATCCATTTGCGCAGTTTCAAAAGTCTTTTTCGTTGAATGGAACAACATACAAATACTTCGACTTGGCTTCAATTGATCCAAACTACAGTAAGTACCTTTAATTGTCAAAATATTTATTCAGCGATGATTCGATTGATTTTTGTGCTATAACATAGAATACGTGCTCTATGTGTTAAAATTAATATAATCAAAAAAAGTGCAATTTACCAAACTAGTGTGAATTAATTGAGTCGTTTATCAAAGTATGTTTAAATACACATAACAAACAAGTCATATTGATAGTCATTCTAGTAACACGGTGCATTGCCATTGCAATGACGTTTATGAAAAGTTATTTAATCAGACGCACCTTTGGAATACGCTGCACATACATAAATTCATATAAAACTTGTTTCGATAAGCTTCATATATATTTACTCAAGTATCAAAAGGTTACACAAGAATAAGACTATGCTTCCAAATCAATTCAAATCAGACATATGCTAAACGCGCCACTTGAGCTTTGCTATCGCGCTAATGATTTGGCAAATCATAGCTTTTGCATAATCATAAGCGATAAAAAGAGGGCACATACAGCTTATTTTTATACAGCCTAATTATATATATTGCATAAGCGTGTAAGATTTTTCTTGAACAATATATAAAAAGCAAAAAAAATATTTTTATACATGATTAGTATTTCCTAATTACTAATTCTCTCTTTTTTATCATTGTACATAATTAGTTAAAGTTGGTTATCTTTAGCTCTTATCATGTTGATTAGTTTAATATTATGTCTTTGTTATATTTCCGTGTGTAATAGATAAACTACCCTACTCAATTCGTGTGCTCCTGGAATCTGCAGTAAGAAACTGCGATAACTTTTATGTACTTGAAAAAGATGTGCAAAACATTTTGGCTTGGACACCCGACCTAAGGCAGGGTCAAAACGATGTGGAAGTTTCCTTCAAGCCGGCACGTGTTATACTGCAGGTCTGTAAATAAATATTTTTTTTAATAATATAAAAGCAAAGTAATATTTTTTGAATAGGATTTCACTGGTGTTCCCGCTGTTGTGGACTTCGCTGCAATGCGTGATGCAGTCTTAAAACTTGGTGGTGATCCCGAGAAAATTAACCCAATTTGTCCTGCCGATTTAGTAATCGATCATTCGGTCCAAGTGGATTTCACAAGAAGGTGAATACCAATCATTATTTTCTTTTTATGCCCTGAACATGCCGTCTGTCTGACTGTATATACGAAACTAGTCGCTCAGTTTTTGAGATATCGATCTGAAATTTTGTTTACTTCCCTTTTTCCCCGCGGTCATTGGGCCATACAGCATAGTTTCTATTTGATAAAATATCTTTAAGAAATTTAATGTGCCCAAAGAAACGCTATAATATCCGAACACACTGTTATTATCGGACCACTATAAATATACCTGTCACACAAACATATTGATCTTTCATGATTTTTAGAAACTATTCTCTTCATTATCTCTTTTTACATTACAATTACAGCACGGATGCAGTAACAAAGAATGAAAGTTTAGAATTTCAACGCAATAAAGAACGTTTTACATTCTTAAAGGTATGTAAAAAAAAGTGTGTTTCCATCCCTTCTCCCGTCATATATACAGTTTTCTTTATGTACCAAAAGTGGGGAGCACGCGCTTTCAACAACATGCTAATTGTTCCACCTGGTTCTGGTATAGTTCATCAAGTAAATTTGGAATATTTGGGGCGTGTAGTATTCGAGGAAGGTAACGGCAATACAAAACTGCTATATCCGGATAGTGTTGTCGGTACCGATTCGCACACACCTATGATAAACGGTTTAGGTGTCCTAGGTTGGGGTGTTGGAGGTAAGCTTAACTCATAAGATCTTTTTCAAGTGCTTGACATTTCAAAGCACCTTTCACATTTTTATTACAAAGGTATTGAAGCTGAAGCTGTTATGTTAGGACAATCGATTTCCATGTTGCTACCAGAAGTAGTTGGTTACAAGCTTGTTGGAAAACTGGGACCACTCGTTACATCCACTGATTTGGTATTGACTATTACCAAAAATTTAAGACAACTAGGTGTTGTTGGCAAATTCGTCGAATTCTATGGTCCAGGTGTAGCAGAGTTGAGTATAGCAGATCGTGCCACCATCGGTAATATGTCACCAGAAAACGGTGCCACTGTGAGCTTCTTTCCCATCGACGAAAACACATTGGCTTATTTAAGGCAAACAAGTAAATTTTGTACAAAGTCTTAGTTATACAAGAAATTTCATATATGTTGACTTAAATGCAGATCGGTCAGAGGAAAAAATTGAGGTTATCCGACAATATTTAAAAGAAACAGGTCAATTACGTGATTATAATGAAGTCTCACAAGATCCAATTTACTCTCAGGTATTTATTGATAGAAAACTTAATCGAATATTTTAATAAGTTTTGATTTCTTAAATTTAGTCTCTAACTCTTGACTTGTCAACTGTCGTTACTTCTGTTTCGGGACCTAAACGACCACATGATCGTGTTGCAGTTTCAGATATGAAGGGTGACTTCCAAGCCTGTCTGGTCAATCCTGTAAGTGTAAACTGATATTATGCTTCTTCTCAAGACGAGAACAAGAAATTTTTCTCATAAATATATAAATACGTATATAAGCAAATTAAATTTAATAATTAAAATACGCAGTACTTAATTATTTTCGGCAAATACGTTCCTGAAAAATATATCCTAAAAAAATAATTTATGTTAATGACATTCGTAAATTTCACTCCAACTTTTATAGGTCGGCTTTAAAGGATTTGCCATTGCTCCAGAAACTCTACAAACTGCTGGACAATTCCAATGGGATAATGGAAAAACTTACACTATTCGTCATGGTTCAGTTGTGATTGCTGCAATTACATCTTGTACAAATACTTCCAATCCTTCGGTCATGTTGGGAGCTGGCTTACTTGCCAAAAAGGCGGTAGAAAAAGGACTGACAGTGATGCCTTATATTAAAACATCGCTATCACCAGGATCTGGTGTGGTTACCTATTATTTGCAAGAATCGGGAGTTATTCCATACTTACAGAAGTTAGGTTTTGACATTGTCGGCTACGGTTGTATGACATGTATCGGTAACTCCGGACCACTGGATGATAATGTTGTAAATACCATCGAAAAGAATGGTTTGGTGTGCTGTGGTGTTTTGTCTGGAAACCGAAATTTCGAAGGACGCATTCATCCTAATACCCGCGCCAACTACTTGGCCAGCCCACTGTTGGTTATTGCTTACGCAATTGCGGGACGCGTCGATATCGATTTTGAAACAGAGCCATTAGGTCAGGGGCCGTCTGGTGAAAAGGTATTCTTGCGTGATATATGGCCAACCCGTAATGAAATCCAAGACGTCGAGAGTAAACACGTCATACCAGCTATGTTCAAAGAAGTTTACAGTATGACATTCGATCCCATTGAAGAAACCAAAAGCAACTAACCAAAATTCTATTATTTTAGGTAAAATTACATTGGGCTCCGAAGACTGGCAAAAGATTGAGGTAGCTGAAAGCAAATTATATCCGTGGAATACTGAATCTACATACATTAAGCACCCACCATTTTTCGATGGTATGACCCGTGAATTGCCACCACTTAAGGGTATACAAAATGCGCGCTGCTTATTGTATTTAGGCGATTCTGTTACAACAGATCATATATCACCGGCCGGTTCTATTGCCAGAAATTCGCCCGCTGCACGTTATCTATCCGAACGTAATTTGACGCCACGCGATTTCAACTCGTATGGGTCACGTCGTGGCAATGATGCTGTAATGGCCCGCGGCACGTTCGCAAATATTCGTTTAGTTAATAAATTGGTGAGCAAAACCGGTCCACGAACTTTGCATATACCAAGCAACGAAGAAATGGATGTATTCGATTGTGCTGATCGGTGGGTAGAAATTAAAAGCACTAAGTTAAGAGTTTAAAAACTTAAATCTTATTTACATTTTTTATTTAGTTATCGTGAAGATGGCACACCATTGGTGCTTATAGCAGGGAAAGACTACGGTAGCGGTTCCAGTCGCGATTGGGCTGCTAAAGGCCCCTTGTTATTGGGCATCAAAGCCGTTATTGCTGAGTCTTACGAACGTATACATCGCTCTAATTTGGTTGGTATGGGCATCATACCTCTGCAATTCTTACCCGGACAAAATTCAGAAACTTTAAATCTAAACGGACGTGAGGTCTACAATATTTATATACCAGAGAACGGTTTGAAACCTGGTCAGAAAATTCAAGTTGAGGTTTGTGTCATGTTACCATATGCACAGTCTTGTATAACATTTCGTTATTTATAATAAATTCTCTGATTTCACCTGCAGGCCGATGGCGTAGTGTTCGACACTATTGTAAGATTCGACACGGAAGTCGATATTACCTACTACAGGAACGGTGGAATTCTTAACTACATGATTCGCAAAATGTTTGCTTAATTGAAAATGCGCAGCAATACAGGCAATATACATGGATATAACGAGTAAAAGGAAGATACTTCCGAAAGCCTTTTATTATTCAGAGTTTAAACTTTCCAGTTATGCATGAAATGCAAAATATTTTTAATAATAAGGCATCAAGGTTAAAAGGGTAATTTCATACTTACAAACATGATACGTAATAAAATATAATATGATATATCAATTAATAATGTTTAAATAGAAGTGTAAAAACTTCTGAATATTCAACTATAGTGTTTCTCGATTTTCGTTGGGTACTCGCAGCTATCTCAGTTATAAAACATTTCGTAGTAAATAGTTCATTGGAAGATTCGAATTTGCAGGTCAGCAAAATCGTTTTCTATTAACCGTTTTTCTTCGAATACAGTTCTTTTTTTTTATTTGAAACGTCGGTCACATTTTAATACTATGAGATAAACAAAGCCCAGTGATGAAAGGCAACAGAATAATTATTTGAACAAAACTGAACTTGGTATATCTCATATATCAAAACTGATATGATATTTTGACTACGCGCAAGGGTAGAATGCGATTTATTATATGTCACATTAAAAATAACAGGATGCTTACAAAAGAGCTATCTAAAAGAAACAGCAACTGTGATATGCAAACACTTCGAGTTGAATAAAATCACGGCTACTATTTCCTTAGATAACTCGATATAACTCAATAACTGTTTTGCACAACGAGTCAGTGCATGACGAATCTTATACATAACGCCACGTTAATATTGTTTCTTGCTCTTTTCACAGCGAATTGCATTGATGTTCTAGCTTTATGATCGCTAAATACGCACTGGGACGGTTCTTCGTCATCATAAGCTGACACACCAAAGCAATTAATTGTGAAATATCCTTTAACTAATACCGTAGAAGCTATTATATATGTACTTTGAAATTAAATTTCCATGTGTCAGGTTTAAAATTACAATTTTCAATTTTTTTTTCTACAAGTGTGTTCAACGTTTCTGGACGTTTATGGATTTCCGCGCTAACTAAGTGTGCATGTAGCATATGCAGGCCCTCTTATAAGCTCGTCTTTTGCGTTCGTTGCCCTAATTCTATGTCATTTATCGGGTTACTTACGAATGCAAAAAATTTCTGCTAAAACATAAGAGTTGAAAACGCAGAAAAAATTACCAATTTTACTGCAAACTCATTACAAGTAGCTTAAGAAAGCAATTTTCTGCAATAGTCAGCATTATATATCTTCATTTTGATTGAATCGGCATTGTAATCGCACACAACAACGAGAACGTACTAATTTTGGTATTTTTTTTTTAATATTATAACTGATACTTCATATGCTATGAACAATACTACTGCACACACACACGAAGTACTGAAAGTGCATTGAGGCTTAAGTATATATTTTAAGTTGTTCGAATTGACCTCTTATCATTACAAGCACTGTATGTTTTTGGTAATTTCTATTCATCAAAAATATTATTGGCAAGTAAATGTTGCATTAGGGGTTTAGACCAGCTTTTATTTATTTTTTTAATTTTCTAATTAACTATTTAAGAAAAAATAATGTAGAGGGGGAGGTCTTTAACAATTCGTCCTGGGCCCGGAGTTTTTAGTGGGCCAGTGTTCTACAAATTTTTTTTTTTGCAAATTTTTTCTCCAACAATTCACTATAATTGTTGCCATTATGAATCAGAATCGCTTTTTATTGTTATGTTGTTTATGCTCCTACGGATGTCCCAGCGTAATCATCACTCAAAAAAATTGCGACATCAAAAATTATTTACCAATTTAATGTCTTGAATTGCCTCTGCTAACAGCAAATGCAGTTCGCATTTAAAAATACGAATCATTCCAAAGCTTATACATATAAATTGCAAAGTAATAGGAGAATAATCCTCACATTTAATTTCAATAAAAACCATTGAGAATAATATATATATATATATACATATATATGATATTGTTTTTGTTGTTTTATTACTATCTGACCAGAATTCTTCTTGCATTTTTTTCCTGCACATTCTTGACTACATTGCCATATTTGTGTTTGTTACAGTTGCACTTATATTTCTAAAACACATACATAACTATTCCACATTGTTAACATTTACAATCATTTTATTACTACCAACACATTACAAATAATTATATTAAACAATTTGTTTCAACCTTTCAAATTAATAATAAATAAGGCTAAACAAGTAAAAAGTTTACTTTGAAAACATTGTTAAATAATTTAGCTAAACTACATTAAAACTAAAATACCAACAATGGTTTATTACAAAATCTCTACATTTATTATTATTTAGTTTGCGCATAGTATGCAATAATTACAACAAATTGCTATTAAACATTTGCTAATTTTAATCATAAAATTAATTTATTCATGTTCCAGTATTTACAGCATAATTTATAATTAATCTATTTAGCCCCAAGAAGGATGTGTACACCACCAGATAGATAGTATGTACATTCACACAGTCTCATTGTTATCGATTTCCATGACACACACACATAGTGCATACGAGAGGCTAGCAAAAATATGACAACATAAATTGATAAACAAATACATGAGGCAATTCGATTACTATTTAGATATAGTAATTGTCGAATAACACAATAAGCGGTGATTGATTTCTTTGGCATGCTTATGTACGGTATTTAATTGATCGAGAAGTGATTCTGGCGAATGAGTTTGTATACAGTTAACACTTGGTGGTCACATAATTGTGCATATTTATAGATTTACTATTACTACGAATTTACCAACGTATTTGATGTTTGTATTGCTCTTCAACTGCTATTCGTTTTATTGTCTCGTAGCCTAAAATTATGCTAAATGAAAATGCCGCAGACTGTACCAGTCGTGCGGACAAACCTTTAAAGAAACAGTGTAGATGCTCTTCTCGCCATAACTCTTGAAATGCAACACGCATTGATTCCAGTCTTTGCACCTTAAAGAATAAAAGTTAATTTTCATTCGTAGCGAAATTCATATGTTTTACTTACTTGAAGGCGGGCTCTGACAATGTCAAGCGGATTTGTGATTATGGTAGTAGTAAATCCACCTAAACTACCTGCAACGCATTGTATGAAGAGATGTGACACCCAAGGGGGGCATATTCGACACAGTTCATCTAAAAGTTACAACCAATTAATACATATGTAAATTTCATTTATTCTACCGCATTTTCTACCTTGATACAAGTGATAAAAAGCCCACCACATTGCAGAATTGGGTACATATGCCATTAAACTTGCTGTATAGCCACGATAGAAACCGCGAAAACCATCACGTTTCAATATTTCACGTGATATATCCATTGACAAAGCAAATCGACTGCGACCAGGACCGGTTTTTATTCCTAGCGGGTTGAGGTCAGCTCTAGGACCTGCATGCGCTGCCATACCCAATACCATAGCATGTTGTGATATTACATCAAATGGTACCACAATAGTTTGGCCAACGAGTGAAGCACAACCACCCGCAACTAGGGCTTTTGTACGATGACCCGCACCTATTTCATTTAGTAGGTGTCGTATACCCTCATATGTACTTATATAGAATACACCTGACACAATTTGCACTGATGATATCCAAAAACCACGATATAGACCGGGAACCCCTTCTGATCGATATATTTTTATTGCACAATCAATCATGCCTTTATACACATCGCTTTTATATTGCACTTGTAATTGTGTTTTTATTACGGTCAATGGAAATAGGCAACATCGCACAGAAAACGAACTCAGCATGGAAAGTGGAAAAAATTTCGTTTTATTCATCATGTCCCATTCGATGGTACGTATGTATGGAGTTGCATCTACGGAACTACCAGAACCGGTAGCAGCTCCACTTGCAACTGAAATGCGATTCATGATGTTAGCTCTTAGTTCGATGGAGACCAAAAGAATTGACAGCGGCTGTGAAGAAGTTGATTCTGACAATAGTATTTGGTGTAGAAAGCGCGTACATTCAGATTTGTGATGCAATGATGGTGGTTAATTTTGACAGTCCTAAGAAAGCTGTACGCTCCGATGTTCCCGCCAGTAAAAGCTAAGTACAATTCATGTCATCCTGCAAAAGTAAAATTAATTCGTAATGTATACACCAATTAATATTTATTTTATTGGCCAATGTCATTGGCCATGATGGGCCAATACGGAAAAGTTATATATATATGTATATATGCTCAACATACCATTGTTTATAAAGCCAAATAATTAAAAAATATTTATAGTCTTGTCTTAAATATTTAAAGGATATATATCCTTAAAGTAAAAGTAAACATTATTAAGTATTAGTTATATAACAACCACGATTGACCACCGTATGACACACTATTGTAAACATTTGCATCTTGACCAACATATTTAACGTTAAGTATAATGAAATACATCACTGACTTGCGAAATTTGCAATTTGTGTTTATTGATATTTTACTTGTAAAGCAACTATAATTTGAATTTCAGAGACTTACACTTTAAAAACCGAGCTCTATTTAATGAGTTCACAAGTTAAATAATCATTGCGAATGGATTATTTTTTCGAAAAAAATGAACTAAACTACCATACGTCAATAATAAAAATTCTAGCTGATAAGCAAAACACAATTACTAAAATGACAATTACAAAGTGTCAGTGTCAACGAAGTGTCAGTGTAGCTGTCAAAGTTTGAAAGGGGTAGTTTGCAAAGGTAGAGGATTTCGGTATTGCACCCAATTGGAAAATAATTTTGTAGATAAGGAACGAAAATGAGTGAAACAACTTGTTCGTACATTTTGTTTTTATATAGACAAAACGTACAAAGTTATATTTTGGCTTAAAGAATTCCAATAATTTTTTAAAAAATGAAATGTGAAAATGTTTCCATTACATATGCAAATATACTTACATAAATACATAGTAGGATTTCGCTTGATCTTTTGATAATGATTTTAGAAAAAAACACTAGTATTAATATATAACAGTATTGCACCACCTACTTTGTAAAAATTTATTAAAATTTACTATGGGGATTACATACTCAGTTCAACGAATGTAGGAGCATCCCTTTTGCAGCCATATTTGTACATATGTATTTTCATATATGTATGTATACTTTATGTATAAGCAAATGTAGCCACATATAATCATATGAAATTAACAGTGCATGCATTGTATACGTGTATTTATATGCATTACGTATACATATGTATGTGCATCCATAGGTACATATGTTTGTATGTAATAGCTTTAAGGACTCCAATATGTGACCAATAAGAAATCAAAGAAATCCGCTACAAGCATGCGCATTAAAAATTATCAGCATCAAGCTCCGCCTCTGCAATATAAGATGTGATACTTATACATAGATGAATGAACTCAATTCGAAATTCTTTTCCATCCTTTCAAGCAGTAACGGTACGGGTTTTAAAAGTGTAGCATAAATACGACTCGGAGAAATTAATAAAAGTGTGCTTATTATATTTACCATAAACTAGTAGCTAATTTAATGTTGATTATAAAAAACATTATTTAAATATGCATCCTTAAAGTGAGCGTTAATTTATACTTCTGATTATTCAAGAGAGAAAAAGTTAATATAACATTTAACGGATAAATTAAATTATCGTGAATAAGTCTAATGGATAACCATAAATTGGTAAGAGCTTAACGTAAAAATAATAGTAAAGAAAAAGTATGTTCACAAATATAACGAAATTATGTTATTTACATAAAATAAATTATACCAGTTTGTACCGGTAAAGATATTAAGAAATAAATTTATTTATCAGTTATGTAACGGAATATTTTTATAGATTCGGTTCTATATTTGAAATATCATAATATTTTTTCTCAAAACTAATTCATAAAACAAGTACAACAGTATTATTCAATATATTGCTCTTGTAAGCTATAAAATCCAATAATAGTCCAAGAAACCGTGCCGGTTGGGGACCAAAAATGAATCAAGCAAATTTTTGAAACACTGCTCTGCCATTTAACATTCAGTAAGAGCATTCTGCATCAATCAGACCAAATGGTAGTTGCAAGGTCTGGGCTGTAGGGCAAGTGAGACAAAACTTCCCAACCACTGTTTTTCAAATAGTTTTTAACTGGAAAATTAATTAATTAAAAATTATTGCCACTTGACTAATCGCAAATTGCGGGCGTTTTCCGACAATCTCTTCAAATTCTTGAGTTGTTGTGGCTTCCGTTCCCCTTTAATGATTTCACTCGGTTTTCGAAGCTTATAATACAAAAAAAGAGCTCATAATACAAAGATTCTCCCAGGCCTTCTTGTGTTTGTCAATAATCTTCATCGAAAAGAAGATTATTATTTACGCTCCTAAGGTATGAAATATACTGAAAAAGACGTACAAAAACAGAAACTTACGAATGTTCGAAATAATGTACTAATCAAGTTACGCCATCTCTTGGCACGCCGTACAAATATAGTTATAGTATATATCTCATTATTATCAATGTTTACTTTATTTTATTTAATATTTGTTATTTATTGCAGAAATCTCGAGAAACTAAATACAAATAAATTACTTATGAATAAATATGTAAATATTTTTCATAACCATATAAATACATACACACATTATTATTAAAGCTTACATTTCAAACGAAAATTGCTTATCATATTTAAACCTGATCTGCGCACATAAAATTAATTAGATATAGACATTTTCTGAACAATATATGTATATATGTTGGAGGATAAGAGTGCAAACGTAGTAAGTCAAGATTTTCAAATACTAAGTGCGAGAAAAATGGAAGCAACGCTTCTATAATTTCTCTAAGAAATCTCATTATGGACTTGATACTTTTGTGCAATTGAATAAGTTAATAGAGTGAAACCTTTAAAAGATTGTAAACTTTATTTTTTAAAGTAGTATTTATCTATATTTTATTCATTCTTAATAAAAAATGTCATATTTCTAGACCCAGCTTTCACTCATTGTCAGCCATTTATGAAATAATCAATTAATTGTTCCAAATAAAGAGAACAGGAGGAATTTATTATTGTTAGATGCCCTTACAAACTATGAGAACATTTATAACGATGTCAAAATTTATATAAATAATTTTTTTCTAAAGCAATATCAATTAAGTACAATCTAAGAACCATAGTAATGTTAAAATACATTTCTACTTCTCATTCCCTTCACTCAGCCATAACTCAAGGTGTAACCCATATTTTCCATTAATGTTTCCTTAATAGCAGGTTGAAGTGCCCGTTGCATATATGTAGTTAGTAAGCCTCGTACACCCATTGAAAAAATCTTCTCCAATTCACTTGAGAAAGCGTCTCCCACCTCATGTCGATCGCGCACATTTTCCCGCTCGAAGTGATCGCTGAAAAGATCTGAAAAAGCTCTAGCATCTGGAGATATTAAGTCTTGCAAGTCATCGGATATACTGAGTATGTCATCATCGAAAATGAACTCATCCCTCCAATCCGTTTTACTCATTTCTGGCCGAAATTGATTACTCTCGCGTTTTTCGCGGAACTGTGCACGATACAAATTCACATTATCACGAGTATCATAAAATAAATTCTCATTAGACTGTTCATTTTCACGCCAGGGACGGTCATGACTCCGTCGATTCGTTTTTTGGTACTTCTCACTTCTTATATCATACGCATAGGGATTGTAATATTTACGCCAACGATATCCAGTTACTTGTGTTTGCGTAGCGGCAGTGCCCAATACCACATGAGGTTCGGAGTGTTCTACAGCTGGTGGTTTCACTGTTCCCTGAGTGCCAGTTTCACTTTCAAAACCAAATCGACGCTTTGAATTTTGCCGCAATCTCACACCTGAGGGACCCTGACATCCGTGAGCAAAAACTGATATAAAACCAGGCTCAGCGAAATGAGAATCCGTGCGCACCGAAGCGGCACCAATTCGACGCGATTCCTCATTTGCGACATTTTCAAAACCAATGGGAATGGTACGAAATTCAATACCGGCTCGACGTAAGCGTAAAATCATGTGACATTTACCACCAGTTGGTTGTAGTACGACTTTGCCACTAATTGTCAAATCGGGGAATATGAGACGCGTGTCCAACGTTGAGTTTTGTGTACTGAATCTACATTTATCTACCTCAACCCAACGCGCACTAGTCGATTTCGACGGCAGACGCACTCTCAAATCCTCGACGTCTACGCTGGAGACAGCCGCTAGTTTATGTGGTTGCCTTCTATTATACGAGTAGTCTGTGGAGAACAAATTATTGAATCTTCCCATGTATGCCGGCGACTCGCTTTGAGGTTGACGCTGAATATTTTTTGCATAATAACCTCGATCGCCACCAGAGTAAAAGTCATCTTCTGGTTCACTATTTTGACCGTAGAATGTTTGATACAGTGTGTATGGAGTTTCACCAGAGAATGATCTTGAACTTTTCGCTGGTATGCTACGGCGACGCATGTGCTCTAAGGCATTTTCTAAGCGACTCGAACAGCGTTGTTGTTTGTAGGGTTGTGCAATAACATCTGAAAGAGATGAAGGTTTGCGTGTATAAAGTATATATAATATTTCCATAATTTTTTAGTACTTTAGTAATTACACTCTAATTAAATTATCTCATTACTTTTACAAAACATATCATGAAATTGAGCAATTCCAAATCCAATTTTTTACTGCCTTGAGAACTTGTACGCACGAGGCTAGCTAGGCTAAGTGTTCGATCTTTAAACGAGTTTTTATCGAAACTGTGACTGTGATTTTAAAGTTGGTTTGCAACATTTCTCAAGAACTACTCAACCGATCTTCATGAAATATTACACAGGTCTTTGAGATACAATTATCAAAGACTTGGTTTTTTTCGATTACAACAATTTGAAAAAAAAGTGTCACGAAATTTTAATTTTTTTGTAAAAATGTCTACCAAAAATCCAATTTTCAGTTTTTTTCCTTTGTCTGAGTTCGGCAATGGCTGGGTTTAAAATTGATTTTTTCCCAAAAATTCCAGAATTTTTTGGTTAATAGTGTATGTTTGTAACAATAATTATATAAATAAAAATTATAATAATTATATGAATAAAAATGGGCGTTAATGAGTTAACCTTTGGAATAAATTTTTTAAGAAGGGTTCTAGTCAGTATTAATCTACATACATATTACTAGACAAAAAACAGCATATATTTATACCCTGAACGAGGTATATTAAGTTTGCCACGAAGTTTTTAACACCTAGAAGGAAAGTTGGAAACCTCTATGGTATATATAATTTATATATATATAATAATGATCACCGTGACGAGCTAAGTCCTTTAACCCATATTCGTCTGTCTGTCTGCCTTTATATACGCGAGCTATTTCCACAGTTGTTACAATATCGATCTGAATTTTGCACATGGAGCATACAAACTGATGGGTCAAAATCAAGATAAAGATTTTTTATACCATTTTATGCCATGTTGAAGGGTGTTACTCGCTGAAGTTAGATAAGGTTTTTCCCTTTATTTACTTTACCGCCACTTTTGCGCATAATGGCGGACATGTGAATTGTACTTTATTTTTTAACGAATTTTTATTTATGTTGCAATCGTATTACAGGCGACTTGGACAGCGAAGTTCTTTTCATTACCCTTCAGTATATAAGCCATTTAAATATGGAAAAACCACAAAGAAAAATATTTTTAACAATTTTATTTAATATAACTGTATGTGTATAAATGTTTGACATATAGGTATGTCTCACAAATCAATGCTTTACAATCATTTATGTAAAATGACTTATATTCGAGGAATTTTTATTTTACATTTAACGTACATTATTACATTTAACTAGATGTTATTTTAATACCGATACTTTAGCAAGTAAGTTAAAGTTAAACGTGAAAAAATGGAATAAATTGAATCTGCATTTGCTTAGCAAGTTTGCATTGTTCACTAATTCAGTCTGTAAAACATTTTTAAGTTTCAGCTCTAAATCTCAAAAGATTCACCAAGAACTTTTATATTTTAATTTCGTTACAAAAATTGAAGAAATGAATAGTGATATACTTTTACACATTAAATTATTGCATATATCCTGTTGCATATTTTGTTTCACACTGTCGGAATAGAATTCAATTTAATTATTCACTTAATCATTTGGCTTAAATATCGAAAATATGGCACAATTTTAGCACACATAATTTTGTTTTTACTAAATACCTTCACATTTCCTTAGTAGGATCACATAAAGAAATAACAATACTGCTTTTAAAAATGGCACAGGATACTTCTTTTTGGTTTTCATTTTAGAAGGCATAAGCATTTCGTTATGCATGCCCGGACTTTTGGGTTTGTGGAATTATTTTTAGTTTATTACTGATTAAAATAAAAAGTCTTTGATTTCGTGACTTTACCGAACCCGCGAAATTCACTATAAATTTAAGCTTAAGACTGTTCCGTTCTCCTCTGCTGCACTGCCGAAAATGGTATTAAAAGTGGCACGTTGAATTGTGAAGCCTCCACCACTGAGTACCGAAGAAGTTTTAAGACATTGTGCTTCTTGTATTATAGCGTGAACGCAAGCGCAACTGGAACCAAAAACTACCTATTACATGTAGTAAGTACTATACATACATATACACAAATGAAGATTTCTATAACTTAAGCCCATGTCACTGCCTCATTGTCGACACTTCCAGCACCTTCGTCTTCAGTGAAAGTATTTTCCACAACAAATAGCCATTGCAAGTTTGCTTAATATGTACACATATGTAGATGTAGTTGTATTCAAGTTCAGCGACGTTTCATGAAACTCCACAAAAGAGGGGCAATTAAATATGTATACTTGATGAAAATAGGCGAGTGAAAATAATAATCTTCTTCACGCATATTCTACATATCGGCAATGTCATACACCAGATCTTAATTTAAGTAAGAAAGTAGAAAGGGCACGACCAAACGTGTTGCAAAATCCATCAAATCTGAACCTATTCTTATTAACTTAACTTAAATTTTCATACAAGAACTTGGTTTTAATTGATCAGTTTGTATGGTAGTTACTTTTTATAGGTATATCTCGGCGATTTCTACAAATGAGCAATTGATTTGGGGAAGAAAAACTTTAGATTGGTATCTCAAAAACTAAGTCTCTAGTTCTAGTTCATATATGTATATACAAACAGGCATGGCTAAATCGACTCCATTCGGCACGCTGATCATTTACCATATAAGCATACATACAAATTTATTCATATATTTTATAGAGTCCTCCACATTTCCAAACTTATCTCAAATTTAATATTCTCTGTTTAGGATATAAAACAGAGGCATATAACCCCAGCATACTCCTCTGATATTATTTAGTGCAACAACAGTTACACTTACCTTCATATGAATTACATACAAATATTCAATGGAAAGAAAAGCTGGTGAATCCAACGAAACCGTTAGTCAATCGGTGATTGTACGAATGTTTGTTTTTTTAACTTATTTTTATTTTAGTTTTCTCACAAAACTTCCATACTGCCGCAAACTCCACGCTACCAACACCCACAACAAACTATAATGCGACTAAAGGCATAGGTGTACATACACGTACATACATATGTATGTACATATCTATGCATAATTTTATGTACATATTTTCATTAAACTTGCACAGTATATTTCGTTGAATGGTCTCACTAACTAAATTTTATGTTGATGTGCGGAAGATGCTTGCCAATGGAACTGTATATATATATGTATGTATGTGCATAATGGAAGGTTTTCGAATCTGCATATAATCACGATAGTTTATAATTTTTGTATGAAAATGTTGGTGTTGCAAAAATGTTGCTTTTATATCCATGTTAGTCAGCGAACATAATGTATTAGTCATGAATCGAATTTATAGAACACTCGAAATAGGCAAAGAAATTAATTTTGTCAAATATCTAACCATTTTTATTATTTATAAATATATGAGGACATATAATTTTCTGATATTTGCAACAATAATTACATACTATAGATTGAAAAAAACAAGAAAAAACCTTAACTTCGGCTGCACGGAAGCTAATATACCCTTCACAGGTGATTATGTTATTACCTTAACCAGTAATCCATGTGAAATTTCGTTAAGATACCACGTCAAATGCGAAAGTTTTCCGTGCAAGACCTTGATTCCGATCGTTCGGTTTGCATGGCAGCTATATGCTAGAGTGAGCCGACCTGAACAATTTCTTTCGATAATAATTGAATACAGTCTATTTCTGACCCTACCTTACGCGCGTTATTTACATTTCCTTCTTGTTGCTAACTATTATTTATTAAAAACACATCAGTGGGCAAAATTTAATACTATGTATGTGACTGAATATACAATCTGAGTTGCAAATATTTCGTGGGAGTTTTTTAAATTATGTAATTTGCTATTCTCCAAACTTATGAATACGTAGGTTGGATTTTATATTTCGGGGTTTGGCAACCCTGGTGTTAGTATCTACCAATTGACATATTTACCTTAAAGTTTGATATTTTTGATGTTTGAAATACGACCGCTATTACTATAAATTAGTAACTTAAAATATTTATATCCGCTAAAAAATTGAATTATTAATCGATGAACTTAATTCAATTTTGGGCCATCGAACTCCATCAAGGTTCAGTGTTCATCAATGGTATGGTGAATTCTATCGATGTCCTAGATAACTCCAAGACCATTTTCGTGAAGGTCGCCCAAAATCAATTGTTGTTCCGGAAACTATTGATTTTGTACGGAAACTAATATTGCCAGATCGTTAAGTGACCTATAGTGAGATAGAGACAACTATAGATATTAGTGAGACTAGCATATCTCACACAACAACTGAAACGACTGCATTTATGAGCACTCAAACTATCACTTTGCATCTACCACATAGTCCTCACTTAGGACCAAAAGACTTCTTTTTATTCCAGTATGAAAAATATAAACTAAGATTTCTATGTTTTCCGACACCTGAAGAGGCGATTGATACTTTAAGAATTCATATTTTTGAGGATCTTCAATCAGTATGCCAAAAGTGTCTCGACAATTGGTTGAAATTCATACAAAAGTATATATGTATATACATATGTATATAGGATATTTTGGAAAACAATAAAGCGATTATCGATGACTAAGTTTGCTTCTGTTCTCAAATCCCGAAATATTAATGGTAACCCACGTATACATAAATATGTAGATTTACACAGTTATACTTTAGCGAAAGTCCCGATATTTATGTCATGGTCTAGTAGACGTCATCTCGACAAGTGAAGCAACTTTGTAAATTAAATATGGTACCAAAATTATACGAATATGCGTGTATGTGGGTTGCGAAAACACAAAGTATTGAAAAAAATGTGCGAGAAAGAGTTATAACAGCTCAACTGTATATTTTCGTCAAGTAATGATTAGATAATTGTAATGTGGGCAAACCAGTACAGCAATGTACCCCAATTTTTTAATATTAATTAATAGTTAACTTTCCCATAATGCCTTCATTAAAATGTTAATTTATTTTGTTCTTAGAAATCCGTATTGAAAAATAAATCCACTGCATTGGGCTTAAAAGCTGTGAAAACTTTTCTAAATACATATATGTATATTATGTGCCTACAAATATACTATATAATCTATACTACATTTATTGTCAAAGGCTTTTGCTTTCACGTTTGTGATAAAGAAGCGCGTGCCATTACGTCGCACCTGGTTGACTTTGAGATGATTAAACTCGTGAATAAGTCTGTGATTAGTGTGTTTTTGATTCAGTTCATGTGTATTTTGTAAATTCTATAAAACCATATAGCGGCACTAAATGATCAGCAATTTGTATAGTTTCGCAACGAATCAGTTACAATACCCACATAAAAATAATAATGAATGCTGGTATATTTATAGACATACATACATATATGTGTATCTATATAAGTATTATATACGTACATATATTAAATCAACTTTTATATCAAACAAAATTTTGTATTTATTCATTTTTTGAGGTTTCTAAAAATTCTTGACGTGTGTAGGCGTTATCTTCTCGGTCCGCTTGGATGCACTTATTCAACGTGCAAACTGTTTATTTTTTAATTCGAGTACACTCCAACTTTTATATCACTTAACTTCCTTTTTTTTTGCAAAATCGGTTGATCCATTATGCAATAGTAGAAAAATATATTACCTAAGTATTTGCATACTTTTTTGTTCTTACCAAAAAAACAAACTACCATAAGGATATTTCTTCCCTCTGGATATTACTGTTAAAAATCAAAATATTAAGAGATTTAGATGAGTGCCTAAATGTTGACGTACATATGTTGATTTTTGGCAATGTTCAATGTGTAAAAGTTCCAATGTTATACACATTCCCAATGACTTTCTTATTTAAAACTTTTACTATTACATTTAACATTTGCAACTAACTCTAAACACAATTGCAATTTTTGTTTAACATTTTAATTGGAGTGTTTTACTAGTTTTTACGTGTCTTCGAAATTATTTCAACCTTGAATTAATTCCGTCAAAAAACTAGTTTATAATTGTCCTTACTATGCCGTATGTACTTGAAAACGTGTACTATTATTACTTTTCCACTTTTACTAACATAATTATTTGCAACAATTTCTCTAAATTTTACTGAAGAGTTAAAGTTCGAAAAAGAAATGTATATACATAAGTAAGTATACGTGTATAAGTGTATTTTCCTAATGCCAAACTAACAATAGAGAGATTATCAATTCAGTTCTGTGTCTCTTAAAGCAGAAATTATTATTTTTACAACCTGAGAAAGGTATACTCGTATTAACGATTGACACGAAACTTGTAACTCACAGAAGAAAATGCCGAGGATCTATATAGTATATAACTGCTTTACCAAAACCAAAAATGATGGTGAAAATTTTTTGAAGGGTTTCATAGGTTTCTACGGGTAAAAAACAGCTTTTTCAACAATATTTTCTCATATAATAAATCAAAAATTGTATTATAATTTTTTAATATTACAAATATACACTATTAACAAAGAAGTTCTGAAATTTTTGGAAAAAAATATTTAAAACTCGGTCATAGCGACGCCATTTCAGGTTGCCCTTCGTAAAAGATATGAAGGGTATCTCCTTACGACATCATCTAAAGTGAAGAAATATGTGTTTTAGTTCACTTAGAACTTAGACGAAAAAAAAAGATATTAAAAAAAATTAAAATTTCAGTTAAAATGTTTTGAAATTTTTTTTTTTAAATAGTTGGAAACGAAAAAGTTCTTCGTCCAAGTATTTAAGAATTATATATCAAAGACCTGTGTAAAATTTCATTGAGATCGGTTGAGTAATTTTCGAGGAATCTTGTCAACCGACTTCAAAAACACAGTTTGGAAAAAAACGGGCTTAAAGACGACGCACCTACCAAGCTACAACTATTTCCTAAAATGACAAAAATAGCTGTGCATTGAGGAAAATTTTTAACTCAAATTCGTAATCAGAACCCTCAAATACCCAACACCTCTTAGCACATCA